GCTTCTCGCACTAATCTCATATGTAATATAATCCCCAAAAAATTCAGTGTCTCAATGAAAATGACACATATTCAAAAGCAGGTTACAATTATAAAAAAATAAAATATTTCATTTTTAAGCACTGAGCTTAAAAAATTCACCGCACATTTCATTGTTTCCTAGGTCTATTTTAAGTCAAACCAGCAATCCATTGAGTTCCCCCTGCACTCCTGTTTCCAAATCTGTTAAAGCAGACTGTCATCAACACCCGAATTAAACTTTTAAAGCTACAGTGTGTAATTTTCAGCGACATCTAGCGGTCAGAGTGCAGACCGCAGCAACATGAACATCTCCCCCCCACCGCTTCTCCCCCCCAACAGTATGGCGAGCGTTACGGGACAAAATGTCTTCCACGACGTCCGCATCACCTACCTTCTCAAGTGATGAGGTTTGTTTACATAGATAATTTTACAGATAGTATTTCATTAGTCTGTGTAGGGTATAGATTTCATGTAGACTTAAGATAATAAATATACCCGTTATTTTTTCTACGTCGTTGTGACGTTTTGGTGAGCTGCTTTGCATGGTGATATAAACAGACGAAGTAATTGTAGTCATTAGTTTAACAGCGAGATTGTGTTCGCTGGAAGAATATATATTCCCCGTTTACAGAGTCCAAGTCATTTTGGTGGCACGGGGGTTACAAGGCGAGGAAGAGGGAGAGGGCAGGGAGGCCGTGCAGCTAGGGCCAGGCGAGAGAGGGGTGCCAGCGGGGTGAGAGCAGAGGAAGAAAGGCTTGAAGATCTCCAAAGGAGCCGGAGAGAAGTAACCGAGGTATATATCCAGAAAATTATTTTACAGAAAATTACTGAATCATTACCTATGAAACGTCAGGGACGTTGCTGTATAAGTATACTGGAGAGTAACAGCATCATCACGCAGCATGTTATTGTTTTAGACAGGTCTGAGCATCCTGTACTCCAAAAACTGCAGTGATATTAGACAATTGTGTGTGTAGGATTAATTACCTGTCCAAGAGAAAACTGGCAACTTGAGCGTCACTTTGAAAACCTTTTTCCTCCATCAGTGACTTCCATCGTGTAAATGCCGTGCCAATGTTGATCCGTGTTTTTTGTCGTTTCTTGTCACGCTTGCGTTTATTCTCGTCGTGTTTCCGCTTCTTAGATGACGGGGGTTCGGTGTCCGCCGCTTTTCGTTGTGATACAGAGTAGGCATGATCCTCCATTCGTCTGATGTTTGGCCAAACAGTGCCAAACAGTTTGCAAAGTCACTCACGCCTGCCGCCTTGTTCACCTTTCTTGTTACTGATGCGCAGTATACCTGCTTCTTCTTCTTCTTTGGTTTCAGGCAGACTAAACGCTTCTCAGGCATAATACTGCCATCTACTGTTCAGTACCGTCTCAGTTAATCTCTCTCAACTTGCCGTAGTTATTTTCGAGCGTCATGGGAGATCTCGCAATTGCTAGTTTGTTGCCTCTGCGCTTGCCGTAGCGCAAAGATGTCTGCCTCCATGGCTGCGAGACCCGCTCCTATGTAATTATAAATAACGAATTCTAAGGCAACGCAAATATTATGGTTAAAAGGCTGAGCTCATAGGTGATGATAAATAACATAGTTATGTATAATATATTAAATTTCTGACTTTATATGCCTGTAATTATTACACACTGTAGCTTTAAGTATTTTTAAAATAACTCAAGATAACATTTCTATTTTATAAAATCTGTTAACGAAAAGATGCACAAACTGTTTCCTGAGACCTTCTGAGTCTGATGTAAATTTTTTGTATCGGCAAAAAAGTGTAAATAGCATTTTCCTTTGGTTTAAACCCTGTCTTTGGTTTTCTCAGCAGCAACAGCAGAAACTGGCTCTGCCTCCACAGCAAACCAAGGAAGATGCTGCAGGCAAGACGGAGCAGGGAAGCACAGAGGAAACACAGCCAGAAACTCCCATGGAGCAGGAAACCCCAGGAGAGACAAGCTCCGAGCCAAAGGCAGAGAACGCCAAGGAGGAAGAGGGCAACCAGGATACAGTTGGCCCGGCGAAGATGCCAGAGCATCCAGGCAGAGACAGCGACAGTGATGATGAGGAGGAGGAGGAGCAAGAGCAGTAAAGGATCCTTTACTGCTCTTGCCTCTCTATGCAGAGAAATGAAATCCTTCATTAAGGAAATGTGATGTTATTGATGCTAGATCTGTTTTCTACTTAAATCTTTTTGATCGTTTTATTTACTTGTTTTTTGTGAACAGGTTATCTTTTTTAACTTAGTGCTTTATTAAAAAAATATGAAATCTTTTTTTATCTTTAGTGACCTGTTTCTTTACATGCAGCCACCAAAGCTGATAATGCACTTTGTCTCCAATCATAATCACTGTCTCACTCTATCAAATAACCTCTTTGTCATGATACATCCACCCATTCATGTTAATCTTAACTCAGCTGTGACTGGCTCAACCCACACCAGCAATGCAGACTGCTACTAAGCTGCATTTGTAGGTCAGTCACTTCACTGTGCATGCTGGGGGATTTCACCGTGCCCTCTAGGAGTACAGTCATTCAACCAGTAATATTCAATTCTTCACCATTCATATATCTGTGTCCAGTTCTGAAAATGCTGTACGCTTCAGTTAATATCAAGGATGATGAAAGCCCTTATATGTGTTAAAATCAAGGGAGATATCTTTAATCCAAATTTTAGCAGCGCTTGGTGATGTTAACATAAATTATTTATGATTAAGAGTTTAACAGGGTCCACAACCCTGGGGGTGAAAATACAGACTGGAAATTCGTTCATTATAATGCACAGGAGGTTGGTCGTTGTTACATCATACCTCAGGCTGCCTGATAGAGCAGCAGGTCGGCTGCACAGCTGCTTGTGCCTGGGCCAGTTCAGGGACCTGCTGGAGATCCATGTGTTGATGGATGCGGAGAGACACCATTTTCTGCAGTCAAGTGGAATGCCATGAAATGTCTTTTTTTTCCCCCTTGTTTCTTCTCTCTTATTGTATAAACTCAGGGCAGTTGAGGTAAAGGGTCAAAGTAGAGCAGGCGGTTGGACTTACTTGTTTCTTGGAATGGTGGTTTAAACTGATATTTTTTATAATTTACCATATTAGCCAGTTATCTGAAATAATTTTACATGAGTAATATTTTTCTCTCTGATTTTCTAATTAAAGTCAGATTTACTACAGATTCTTTAAAAACTCCTACATGTGGAACTTGTTCAACCAAAGATTTCATTGTATTTTATTAGGATTCCCTGTGTTGAACCTCTGCAAGGTAGCAAGTGGAAGTTAGAAGCGTTGAAATGTATGTTCCTCTAATTAACATTATGAAAATTTACTGAATAAAGTTAAGTTAAACTTGAGGTTAGATTACCAAAAAAAAAAAAATTATTTTACAATATGGCAAATTTGTGAACCTACCAAAAAAACAATGTTGAGTACATAAAATGACAGGCTGGTCAGGTGAGACCAAAATTGTCCATTTTGGGGGCAGTATCATGCTGCGGGAATTTTTTTTTTCTCCACTGCTGGTCAGAGTAAATAAAAGAAAAAGCTGGATAGACCACATCATAATTTGCACCATCAACACCAAGTCAAATTTCTTGTAAGTGCAAACCTACTTGGCAATAAACTTGATTTGATTCCAATCATTAATGGTGCCACAATGTAATGCTTTGGATAAAAAGAAATATATTTTTTACATTGGCCTAATTTAAAAGGGTCATAGATTGATTATACAGGGTATTTGGTGCTGATTAGGGTGTGTAACATTGGTTGGGCTGAAAATGGCATATTTGCTGTTCTATGAGCCCTAATGCAAGCCTGGTAAAGGGTAGAATGAAACAAGTTTTCTTCCTTTTATGGTATGCTCATGAATATTTAGATGAGCTGATTGGTTAGTTTACAATGAGTGAAGCTGCTGAACAAAGACGCATCATGGCAACAAGCACTCACTCACTGAAACATCGAAATTGTTAATATGGTAGGGAGACCAGACGTCCTCTTTTTCCCGCACATGTCCTAGTTTTCATTCCTAAAATGTCCGGGGAGAATTTCGGAATCGTCCAGGATTTTGGTCGACTACAGTACAGCAGAACTGAGCCGTCAGTCCAGTCAGCGCCTCAGCAAGCTGAGCATCAAACTTTGCAGGGATCTTTTGATAGACAAAAATAATCCATGAGTCTTCAAATCCTAGGGAAGACTGAAAAATGTCCCCTTTCTCCGTGCAGCCTGGAACACTGCATTTATACCAGCGTTTCTGGCTCATTTTCAATAGAGAAACTGCCTGCTTTGTAATTCTTGTAGAAGTAAACCCAACTGTAGGCTAAACAGCTAAACTGGTGTCTTGCATTTAATTCTATTCATGTTCTTGGGCCAGTGAACCAGTGGGCTGGTCTATATGTCAATTTCAGGGTGTGACAAAAGTACAGGCCAGAACCAAAAAAGGCAACATCCCTGAATTAATGTCATTTCGGGGCTTCGTTTGATTTCGCCCGTTTTATTGTGGAAGTTTAGATTTGTGAGATTTGCAGAGAAAGGAGGTGTCACTGGGGTATCAACTTCTCTGTGCATCCATTTCACCCTCTGAACTATCGTTATTGATCAATGGCAATGTAAACTCGGTTTTGCATTCTATGACCCCTTTAAAGTCTCAACCCAGTTTGAAAACATTTAGCTCATTTTAAAAGTTGCCGTTTAAAAGATGCTCTCCATTCCACTAGGGTAAAATCTACTATCTGCAAATCTGGAAGAAGGCAAAGTATGAGACGCCTCAAACAAATGGACAGTCATGAATAGTGTAAATCATTCACCTTCCACTTTACAATTATAGACCTTTGTAAGATGTATATCTATTATGTTTGGAACATGAAAAAGAAAATGTAAGGGTTTTTTTTGCAAGCTACTGCACTTAACCAAGAGACAAAGGGTTTGAGTCTTTGTCACCAAAAGAGCTGAATCTCATGACACCATGCATATATTTCTCCGGAGTCACATGAATGCCTGCATTGTGCAACAGCCTGCCTCTGTTCAAGCTTCCCGTTAGCTGTCTGCTTTCTTCCAGCCGGCCTCATGACAGTCCAGTTGCTGTCCCACCTTGTTGGAGTAAATTAGAGGCTAACTAGTGGGAAGTGGCTACTGCTTACAGACATCTTCCCTGGAAGTTAGAAGAAGGATTTAAGAGAGTTTTGTCCAGCAAGACGGAAAGCAGCCTCCCAGTTCCTCCAGAACTTTGTCTCTGCTGAAGGTGAACATGTCTTTTATACTCACACGACAGGTATTCACTAGGTTAATAGCTCACACTCCTAACCTTTTCTTAGGGATAATATTTTACTAACAGCATGGAATATAACATGGAATTTGACTTATTATGACTGTGCTTTGTAAAGGAATTTATGTTATAAAAGCGTCTTTAAAATATTTACAAAAGATTGGTTTGTTATAATGAAGAGCTTGTGGTACATTTAACAGATCAAATTCAGGCTTTGCAAGTTGAATTTCATTTTTTAAATCTGAATCATACCCTCTAATTTTGTGCATTACTTTTTTTTTTTCTTATCCTTAAATCTCTTGTAATTGTGTGGCTCATCTATGTTTGTTTTCCTTCTGTTTTTAATGTGCGGGCATTTAACAAGAGCACGGGATCCACCACGAGACACGCTCGTGCAAGAACGTATAATTTCTTTGGCCAACCCTGCATGACGGCGCTGTCAAAACAGGAAATTGCACATTGCATAGAGTTAAGGCAGCAGTGCCTGCAGGGGGAGGGTCTGACCATTGTGTCTTAAAGCTTTAACGAGCTTAAAGAATCAGCCGGGCAGCACACAATACTTTCACACTCATGAAACAATCAGTTCTACTATCTTAACTTCAAGGCTGAACCTTGGGCCACATTTTTTGAGTGGATTTAATCGCACTTAAAGTTGCATTCCTTATTCAAAAACTCAAAGTCAGAAGAAGGAAGTTGAGGCATGACACAGTTTACCAAGTAAACTTTTTCACTGCAGGTGATGCAGCAGGCTCAGAATAGCTGCACATTAAGTCTACTGGTTGCTGTTTATCTGTCCTGACAGTTATGCTTATTATAAAGGTTTCAAATGATGTTTGCTGATTTGCTATTAGTGGGTGACTCAGGTGCCAGTGCTTCTTTAACGCCGTGTCATTCCGTGGTCACTTGACCTCGACGGGCAGACAAACATGGTGGTTATCGCTTGAAGCTTTCAGCATATTGTGCTTTATAAAGATAACTGCCTGATCCTGACCCCATCTAGATCATCAGCATTCCACATCTGATACTGATAAGCTCTCATCACTACAGAAGGACGTTTGCTATTAGCAGTGGAAATATCCTGTTTGTAAAAATTCAACTCTATTAGATGCTTTTGAGCAAATTTATTGCATAATATATTTTTAGTTGTTATTCTGTTTAATTATATGCAGTGAAAAAGGTCTTCATTGTTAAAATAGCAGGTTTTTATGATGTAAGAATCAAAATATACCTACTGTACCCATTTATACCGGGCAATGAGACTGTCTCACCTACAGTTAATATTATTCAGTACACACCCACCATCATCTAAACTGCCTCTGATAATCCAACAGATGAGTTTCAGCTGTTCCTAAAGGGTTTATCTCAATTAGATTTTTTAGAATATCAGTTCAATCAGTACATACTCACCTAAAAGATTTTAAAAGATCTTCTGGGAATTGGATAAACTTAAAAAAAAAAAAGAAGACACAAAAATTTTTGATGTTAAAAAAAAAACAGCAATAGAACTCTATTCCCATCAGAAAGCACGGTGGTGGTACAATCATGAGGTTATACATCAATGTGAAATCTTCTAATCAACGCACACTTCTTCCTCTAAATGATTTTAAAAACATTGCAGTTTTCCAGTCCGAAATGATTTATGCATTGATCCAATAAATATATTCACAAACCTTCAGAATCACAATTGATTCAAGCATTTTCTTTCAGTTTCTATAAAAAAAGTAAAGTTTTTAAGTTGACAATTTCTGTATTTATTTTATAATCAATTATTTAAAATGTCTTTTAACTGTAGCCATAACAAAAAATATTTTTTTTTCTTTGATGAGCACTTTGCTAAAAAGAAATTTGTGTGGCATCTTAAAATTAAACAACTGGCTCTTTGCCACCAGGAGACATTAGACAGGTAAAGGATTTAGTGCTGCAGTTTTCTGTGAAAAGTATCATCTTTGTTAAAGATCAAGAGGTATTAGAAATATATGAGCCAGAATTAAATCAGACTTACAGAATAAAAGCTAAGATGAAGCAACTAGTTAAAAATTAGAACCCTGTCTTTGTTTCATTGTTCCTTTTCTTCTAGACCAGGATGGCCAGTTGCAGCTCATGTATCTGGTGCATCTTTTGGCTGGTGGTGCTGCTGTGCGCTGGCTGGCCAATCAGCATCACCTTAGGCGGTCTCTATGGTCTCATCAGTCCCCTCACCACCTGCCTTGGCCTTGACCGACTCTCCGACCTACTTCTAGAGGGGGCCAACGTGGGTCGGACCTGCGCCAACAACATGAGGCACTGTAAGCCTTTGTGCTGATCAGGACCTGATCATACAGAGGTCACAGTCAACGCACCTTCTATGAAGACAAGGCTTCTTCTCAACAATGGGAACTGTTTTACTATGTAATTAGAAACATTTGATAAATCCCTATCCCATTTTGTAACCTGTGTGAGAAAAATGTCCACCTATTTCCATCTCCACTGTTAACAACTAATTAACCTCAGATTGAAGTTTTGTTTGCGGGAAAATAGGCTTTGCTACATGGTCCATGTGTGGCGCAACTCCCGGTGACAGTGCATGACAAAGATAAGAACATGAACAATAACACTGTTTAGACTTTTAAATGACTGTCCTAAAACTAAGAATGTGATTAAAACAGCTTTGAACATGTCCTCTGTGCTTGCTGATTGATTCCGAGTCTACTGTTTTTAATTAGAAAAGGTTTAGCTGAAAATAATGACAAAGATTGACAGTTTAAACCACAGCATTTAAATCCTTATGGCACAAATTTAGTATTCAATACATAAAAAATCCAGAAGGGGAATAAAATGTAACCGTTTAATACATATTTCTTCAAAGAGTTGTTATGGACAGGGGTGGCTGTGGACAAGAAAGATCTCCTGCAGTTGCTGTTGCAGTGGATTGCATGGGGCTCTGACCAACAACACTTTGCTGTTGCATCACAAACAGATGAAGAAGACGCTCAGGATTGTAACATTCATCATTTTATCAAAAAAAAAAGAAAAACCTTATTTGCATAATCATTAAGAACAGGCTCCAGAACACAGCCGACCTTTCTAATTGGCTTGATAAGCTTTTTAAAGTCACTGACTGATGGTTCTACCCCATCAGACGATGGCAGAAGATTTTACACACACTGGGTAGCAAAAACGTACATTTCTCAAGTACAGTCGGCTACCACTACTACAGTATCACTATTAATATTACTAGCAATGCAACAAAAAAGTCTAAATGTACTGAAGAAAGATGGAAACATAATAGTACTTGATGGATGGATGGATCAGAATCAAGTTTATTGCCATGTAGGTTTGCACTTACAAGGAATTTGACTTGGTGTTGACAGTGCAGACAAATTATATATATATATATATATATATATATATATATATATATATATATATATATATATATATATATATATATATATATCGAATACAGCATCTATAGTTATATAAAGCATTCAATATACTATATGCAATATATAGTATATAGCTATGTACTGTATACACAGTAGATTGTGTGCTTTAATGTAATGCAGAAGGTCTGGAGATGCTACGTTGGTGTAGCTTCTAGGTCCTGATGGGGGAGGGAGAGATGCAGCTTTAGTGTCAAAGAGATTGAAAGATTTTCACATTCTGGAATAATTCAGGTTCTATTTGCCACCAATTTACAGAACATCAATAATTATGCTTCAAGACTTGAACAGCTTTGAATCTGTCAGTGTGTTAGTCTTTATATTAGATTGCTTCCTTTGTTCATTTGACACTCATATTAGAATCAGTAATTGCAATAGTCTGCTTGTATTTCCTTAGTTAAATAGATCACATCCACTCTAAAAAAAAAAATAGAGGACTTACTTTTTTACTTTTCTCTAATGTTGGCTGGATAGTACAGGCTGTACTCCAGGAGCCAGACTGACTGGTTAAATCGGCCTCATAATGAGTCTGTCTGACAATCACTTCTGGCAGTTGTAGCAGGTGATGCATGAATGACAATCATTTTTACTGGAATATATGAACTAAAAGAATATGGTTTATAAAAGTTCTTAGATAAACAAATGCTTCAGTCCAAAGATATAGAAATATGTCCGTTTCATTCTTACCGAACGCTAAAGCCTCAGGGTTATCCATGCAGTGCTGGTGTATAGCTGCATACAGTCTGTGGTTCTGCTGCAGATCTACAGACTAGAGAGAAACTCAATTAAATTATTTGGAAGAAAAAAAGTAAAATTTCTAAAGAGAAATGTATTAATCTTCATGCATTATGGGATGTCATTGGAGAGGGTTTATTTTTTGAAGTGCATCTAGCAGCTTTAGGCCATTTCCTTCCTGTAAAAAGCCTCATATACAAATCCCATTTTGTAACTGAGAGCCTTTTCAGTTTTTAGCTGGTGAAAGCTCCTCACTGAATTACATACACCAATACAGAAACCAATCATGAATTGCTAAGTGGCTCTTTTAACATTTGAAAGTCTTTTGAAATTAAATGAAAGAGTAAAACTCAACATACCAACTTAAAGGGGAAGAAAGTGAGAAGTGAACTTGGTGAGTAAATTGAAAACCTTTGATCAAAAATTCAAAGAAAACACTTAAAGTTTTGTGATCCAAATACAGACGTAAAGCAAAGATCTTATTTGTTTTATATTATTTATTTAATTTGTACCTCTTTCTACTCAGCTATGATTTGGTATAAACTTTAAAGAGAAAATTGTTCTGAGGTTTCTTAAGTTCTCGCTGATGGTTTAGTTCAGAAAACTTGAAAAAAGAAAAGTTATAGTTTCTAACAAAACCATTGCTTGAGATCAATTTAAAGCTCTTGGGTTTTATACGGAATCATAAAATCAAACTAACATATTCAAAATAATTACCATGATACCTGTTTACTGCATCCTAAGTTAGAGAGACGTTTAATGTGTGTCAGTTTTATGTATTTCTTAAAATTTAAGATAAGGTTCATAATTATATAATCATTTTACCTTATTCATACTAACTCAAATAATTTCTTACTCCTTGAATTTCGGGGAGTAAAAACAATACCTTCTATATTTTGTGCATTATGCTGCAGGAAAATCCAATCCATCCACTCTTTGATATAAATTGTTTTTTTATTTAAGAGTTCACATGATAAGAGATGATTTAATGTTCCATTCTTAGCAAGGGGGAGTATAGAGATAATATATGGAGGCCCAAGAATGGACCCTAGTAATATTATGGTAATAATAATTATAATAATAAAGTTATGCCTAAGATTTATATTAGGCATAACTTTGTTTATTAGTAAGCAGGTCTTGGTGGGAAAAATGGGTGATCTTTTTGCCAAATTGAGGACACAGATCATTAAAAAAAGCATCCAAAGCCAGGTTGTTGATCATTAATAAGGACAGAAATAGATATAGAGCAGAAGTAAATACTTAAACTAAGGTTCTTTTTATTTTAATTTGGTATTTTTATTCATGATTGTACTTCTCTATTTATACTCAACAATGATATTTAGCTATTTTGCTCTTAGTTTTTTCCCTGTGTTTTACTTTCTGTACAGAAAAAGATACAATAAAGGTGCAGCGTTGGTGCAGGGGTTAAGTCCACAACCCATGTGACTGGGTTTGAGTCCCAACCCTTCGACCTTTGCTCCCTCTCTCTAATTCCGCTTCCTATCTGCCTAATAAAAATATGAATGAAAAGAATAAAGGCCGCTAGAGCGTTTCAATAACTACAATTATTGAATTGCAAAATATTCACACAAACCTTTACTTTTAAAGACTCTTTATTTATTTATTTATTTATTTTTATTTATTTTTTAGTTTTACAGTGATTTGTAAACTTTACGAAGATCCTAAATCTTAAAAGGGCTCCAAGTCTCAGACTGTCAAGAATAGACACAGATGATCTGTTGCTTATTTCTGCATCAGGATTAGCTGTTTGTTTTCTAACTGCTTTCCTGAAGCCAAAAGAAGCTGAATAACTGCCTCAAGTACATCATGAGCATTGCTGATTTTCTTTTGACAGTGGAGGCTCACTCAATATATTGGAGCAAAGCCTGTTTAGCTCTATTTATCAAGACGAAGTGTGAGAGTACTTTGCTTAACAACTTAGAAGCTGTTTTTTAATATTGTGCCTAGCATTACACACTCAGTATCAGCACCAAAATAGCTCAGGATACCATCCTCAGAAACCCCATTAAATGCACACCCAAATAATCTTGCTGAGCTGCCTACTGTACCTACAAATCTGCCAGCGATGTAGCTTATTCAAATTTACCCAATGAATATTTCATTTTTATTCTGAACTGCTTTTCTTCTTCAATTTGGACTCATTATTCTTGACTGACACACAACATCAGAACCTTACTCTTAAAAAATGCATGCAGATACAAAATTGTTTAAAAAAGAGACAAAGACCTAAATGTGTGTTGCAAGATTTACGCAAATGACATCTGAGACCTAGATTTTTTCTTGTGGCTGGACTTTCTTCCAAATATCCTGAAGTGAGACACCACTTGCCAAAAAAATAGCCCAGTTTTTAAACTGCTTTGTCTGCTTTTCCTCCCAGAAGTTTTTGCAGAGGGCGCAGGAGGCAGGCCTTAAAGCCAAGATGACAGTCCTGAACTGAGAGAATTAACAAGAGGCAAGCTGGTGAATTTTTCATCAAGGTCTGAGACCAGCTATGGAAAAAGCTCGATACTGTGAGGCAGAGAGAGGGAACGACAATTTCAGAACTGTGATTCAATTAGCCACATAGTGCTCAATGATCTCATCCCATTAAAACAAAAGCAAGAACAAAGGTGACATGAGTGTTATGTTAAGTACATTTTTCAGCTTCTATATATTTATATCACTTCTAGATAACTTTGTAGAATTTGTAGCTATTGCCTCTTTTTACTATTTTTATCATACATCATTTCAGCAAATGCACAGGTGAGTGGGTTCATCTGAAGCAATTTCACTTTAAAACAAATGGGCATGAACCATCCTCTTTTAGACAATTGCTGCCATGCATCAGCTCTTACCTGCATGGAAAAGGTTACTAAGGATATTGCAGCTGAAAGATCAATTTTGAAAACCACAAATGGACCCATTAGATGTTCAATCATGTTGAAGAAGCTTCAGAATACCTAAAAGTGTTTGGCACGTACCAGAACTGTCTTCTTGAGATTATATGAGAGGACAGTAGACATCAGTTTAAAAAGGAGAAAAAAAAAGAAATTCTACATCTAACTTTTTATCTGTGGATGAAAGGTCCCCAGAAAAGACTTTTTTCAAAAGTAGGTACAGTATATAAAGTTGTAAATAAAGAGAATGAGATTTTGCTACATTGATTAAAATTGCAAAGATTTATTTACCAAGGGGGGGGGGGAATACAAACTGAGCTGGCCTTTTGGAACAAAAAGCTATTGCCCTTCTTGTTATAACATGAAGTTTTTACTAAACTAACTTTATATTTATTTAAAAAGCTAACCCAGTCCTGATCATTACCATACCTGCAAAGAAATTGTTGCAATGAAAGATTTCTGATGGCTAAAATATCCTGTAAAGGAGTAGACCCCTACATACTCTAGAAAAAAATTAAGAAACAAATGAAAAACTAAGTCATTTATATCTATCTCACTTGGGAAGATTATAGGGCCATTTCCAAGACTGAAAGCAGTTTTCAT